GTCGAAATTTCCAATACATCATCCGACGTTGTTTTGGTTAGAACCGTGACCATTGTCCCAAGGGGAGTGTCTGAGCATATGAGCGGCGCAAGAAAGTTCTTTGCAGGGCCTTTAACTTTATCCTTCTTTGATAGTTTTCTCATTGGACTTGCAAACGAAAGATGTTTACCCGTATTTTGGTACAACAAAGATCGCTTCCGACTTTTTGCTAAGTCCAGCGGATGGAGATCATCCATTGTGCTGAATTGTCCCTCACTTGTCGTGCCCACCCCACAGTCGTCGTTCGTTCTCGTTTTCTTAGCCGGTGACCCCCCCATAAGAGTCGCATGTAGCATCCTCCCTCCTTTCTATAACAATCCCTAAGAAGCTGATAACTTCACGAGTAGCGGATGGAATGTCGTTGTCGATATCATATGAATGGTTAAGATAAACTTTAAATGCATCCAGCATGGGTTTTTTTCCCCAGTCGGGGGGAGGGGGAGGGGTGTGCACCTCTTCCAACTCGGTAGCTAAATCAATAGTCCTTTCTGCTTTGAGAGGATCCCTGCCCAGTTCATTTCCCAGAGCCCCAAGGAGATCATCCTCCGATTCTTGTTCACTAAGATCCCCACCCACTCCTCCTTCCTTTCCTTTTTCCCCTACCGCCTCAAGCTGCTCTGGGTGCTCTCCTAGATTTTTACCTTTATCTTCTTCTGCCTCTTCCCCATCTTCCACCAAATCCTCCATGTCCTCTTCGTTCAGAAAAAAACATCGCAGCTCTGTTCGGGCTTTCCTTGACAATCCTGACCGATTCCAAAGGAGGGCTAGGTGCAGGGGACTGGTCCTTAGGCTTAGGGATTCGATGGCGGATGAACCCTTATTCCTCATTCTCTTTGCTATCCTCCTGTTCTTCCCCCAAGTCTGCCTCTCCTTCCTCCTCTTCCTCCTCCTCTTCCTCGGTGGGTTTTTCCTGCAATTTTTCCGTAGAGCCCCCGACTATGGCAGGCGAGACGTCTCCCTTGACCTCTTCGGCTCCTCCAGAGCCCTCCCTTTCTTTCTCCCTGTTAGGCTCCATGAACCCTATACTTTGCTCCCTCATTTCCAAGTCCCGGAGGGGATCGTGGTTATTGGATTTCTCCACAACTTCCTCTCCGGGCTCGTGGGTCAATTTTTGGTGACCCTTCCAAACCACTAATTCCCATCCCTTCTTTTTGGGGAGTGGGATCTGGCTGAGGTTACCCGCCTTTTCTGGGGTGAGCTTGAGGATTTCTCCATATTCTTCTTTTTATTTCCTGCTCCCTTATTGGGATCGACTTCCTTCTGCCCATCTTCCTCCTCATCCTCCTCAACTGGGGCCTTGTTCTTTGACTTTTGAGGGTCAGCATTCCTCCGTCTATTCTTTAAGCAATCACGATCTCTTGCCAAGTGAAAAGATCTTCTACATGCCGAGCACCATGGCGAAGCAGCACTGGCTACCTCAATATCAACGTATCCAAATTCTGCCAAATCGATTGTTAAATACGGTTTATACCGAAAACGTGCAAATGTGACCAAGTCAAAACGAACATAAAAAAGTTTCGGTGCGCACGGATTCTTGAAAGCAGGATATACTTTCAATATTTGGCCGAAAGCAACTTCTACCGCTTCTGCTAACTGAGGAAAAGCGGAAACTGACACTTGCAAACATTTTATCCAAAAGAAAGGGAACCGCATCGCCTCCCTCCATTCGTACAACTGGTTGTCATTCATCCATGGTTGCAAAGTTACTTCGTAAGTCTTGTTGTCGAGAGTTATCATGTCTTTGCCTTTACGCAACATGAACGAAGCGATCTGACTCGAGGCAGAAACATAGGTGACAAGATTTCGACACTCATTATGAAATAAACCTCTCTGAGGAGGGACACTAATCAGTTTGTTAATTGCCCACCCATCCTCATATATTCGCACAAGACGTTTTTTGACATCTATCGGAAGTGAGGTGGACTCATCGCCGAAGAGGATTATCACCGCATGTGCCTTTAGCCAATCGACTTGAACTTTAAGAACTTCAGGATCGACCGACATCTTGACATAATCAGCACTGACTTCCACTCTGTTCGGGTTAGAAGCTGGAGCCAGATGTCTCGGGAGTAGACCATCGATGTAGCAAGAGCTTAAGATTTCTCTTAACCTCTGCTTTTCTGTGTCCGACAAGGGCGGCGAGGAGGGGGGGGGGGGGGGGGGGGTGAAGTTGAAGAAGCCATCGTCCCTTTTCCACCCCACCCACAACAAGTACAGAAATCGCCACTCCGAAGTACAACCAGTGAACAAAACCCCAACAGCAAAGAAAAACCGACAAATTGGAAACCAATTTGACCCAATAATCCGAACTACATCAACAAAGATTACCTTCTTCGAAAAAAAAAAATAAAAAAAATTCCTAATGCACATCTAATTTAAACAAATAGCACCGATCTCGGATAAATAGGGAGCTACGACTTAATCACTGCACTCACAAATAAAACCTGAGTTGCCACCCCAACCCGACGATGGGAGTTTTACCTTTTTCCTCCAAATGTCATAGGGAGTGCCGAGCTTGGCTCTTTGGAGACAGGGCCATCATCTCCATCTGTCAACCCTGCAGAGACCAGCTACTTCCTGCCCCTTGGTCTTCCCAAAGGGGAAACGCCGTACCAACCATATCGTGCGGAAGAAGGGAGCATTCCCTCGAAGATACCGACCGAAAAGCAGAGGAAAAGCTCCACACGCGTCATGAGTAGCAGAGTCAACCGGTTTGAGGGATTGGCGACGCCATTAAAGTTGCTGAAAATAACGGCGCTAAATCCCGCGATAGCGCAAAATTAGCGCACCCGGGCGCTGCCTCGCGACGCGGCCGTCGTCAGAGCATATTTTCCGCTGAATTTTTGTGCGTGCTGACAATACAACCTTTTTTTAATTCTCTTGAATTTCTTCAATAGTTCTCAATAGTTCTCAGATTGATTCTCATCCGAAGCCGGGCCCCGGTATCTCAAATGACTTGTGTAACTCTATATGGGACGCTGGGCCCGGTTCCCATCCCAGCACGTGCTGCTCCCCACAAATAGACTGGAGCATTTGTCCCAAAAAAAAAAAAACAGAGCCATCCTGGCTGCAAATCAGTAATGTCTTCAGCTAACACGGGTGTGAGTGCGCGTGTGAGTGGGTTGCATGTCGTGTGTGGCGAAGTGTTGGCTTGAGACACCACTGTTACGCGGTGTCAGGTTTATCGAGAACATTCAACATTGTCCTTTTTTTCTTTTCTTTTCTTCTTCTTTTTTTTTTTTTTTTTTTTCAGGAAGAAAGCCCTTACGGTATCCCTCTATCCTGGCGGTGGTACGAGAACCGTCAGAATTGAGGGCTTACGCGGGGGGCTGCTCCATCTATTGGTGGGGAGCGGCACCTGCTGGAAACCGGGTCCAGCGTCCCATCAGAACATCGTATGGCGTCAAGACTGCGGTTCTTTTCTGTGTCCTCCCTTGGAGCCGCAAGTGACTCCCATTCCCCTTTATCTGCCGACCCAGTCCTTGTCCCAGCAGCCCCCTCTGTACCCCATCCACTCCTTTTGTCGCCTTTGTGTGCCTTGCAGTGCGGCGGAGCATTGCACTCCCAACCCCTGATCTGGGAGGTAGGCAATCACCAACTCGTCCTCTGTCCAGGCAATGAATTGTTTTCTTAGGCATGTACCTACCCAGTCATTGTCCCAGCAGCCCATGCACCCAATGCACGCTCCCCATTGTCTATCGACCCAGTTTTTTTCTTTTTTCTAACGACCAACGTCCCCGATCATCACCGTACTGACCAGCCCCAGGTAACTCAGAGTTACGTTACTGTGGCTAGGTCAGGTTTCGAACGCACGTTCCCTTATCAGCAGTTTATAGGTGTCATGTGCCAGTCGGCGACATCGGCTTGGTGACCAGGGGCGGAGTCTTAGGGCGTCGCCACACCACTCTGGGAAAGTGCGAAATGAGAGTGAACTTTCCGGTAGAACACGGCCAGATGCGCCCGCCACATTGTTGTCTTTTTCACTTTTCGAGAGTGGTGCGGCGCGGCCCTTACTGAGGCTCTGTCAGGTTTCGAACGCATGTTCCCTCATCAACAGTTGATTGGTGTCATGTGCCAGTCGAGGACATCGGCTTGGTGACCAGGGGCTGAGTCCCACTACCAGAAAGTCCCACTACCAGGAAGCCCCACTACCAGAAAGCGTTAGATGCAATGGCCGGGGGATAGGTCCCACTGACACGGATTAAGCGGTATTGACCGTAGATAGCAAGGATCAACGGCCAGAATCTCTTAATCCGTGCAAGTGGGACCTTGCCCCGGATCTTAGACGTTTTTATGCAGAGGTTCAGAAAACCGCGATCACATCTCTGCATAAAGCTCATCCAGAGCAAGAGCGGTTGTCCTTTTTGCATAAAAAAATAAAAAAGAAGAAAGAATAGGGAGGAGTAGCCTCGTGTCTGAACGGGAAAGCTGTTCCCCCTGTGCAGCAGGTTTGGGCGGGAAATGTGTCTGCGCCGGGCGGGAAGTCCTAGAAGCGGGCTCCCGCTGGATTCGGGATTTTACGGCTGGCACGTCCATTACGTTTGTCCTTTTTCTAGACAAGTACTTCTCGCCCCCGCCGTTTGGGGTGCCTCCTGCTCCCCTCCGGTGGTTCCACCACTCAGCGTCGTCTCCCGATTGTGGCCGTAGATTCTTAGGATCGGCGGTCAGGCGTGGGGGGACTGTTGTTGGCGAAACTACCGGGTGAGTCCACTTATTGTCGTTATTGGGCCCAATTGCGGTCCCATTCCGAAGGAGGAGGAGGGCGCGAGGGCCGTGTCCCATTGCATTTCAGTCCATTGCACTTTGCATTGCAGTTGTTGTTGCCGTCGTCAAGCGGAGGGGCCACCAGAGGGGGGGTGGACTGGGGCTAGCTCGCCCGCCGGGGTCGGAAGAGAGGCAGATGTGGTGAGGTAAGGTCGCGGGATTTTGAGGAACTAGATTGGTGGCTAGGGCCGAAGGGGCGGGGCCGGCGGAGCGGGAGCGGAGCGGAGGAGAGGAGGGGGACGAGAGATGGTGGAGAGAGGGGAACGAAAGGGGATGGAGACGCAGGAGCAGCCATGAAAAGTTTAGGGGAGTAGGGTGGCGGGGAAGGAGGGAGATGGGTGGGTGATGGATGAATACACGCCACGCGATGGAAGGTGAGCATTGCCACGCCTTCCCTGTCTCTTTCTCAGTATGCCTGTTTTTCCGATCCATGTGTGTGTTCGTCGCATTGTATTGCGAAGGGAGTCACTTAGACAAACAGGCGAGTTCGACCTCTCGCAAAGTCGTAGAGGGGCTGAGGAAGCGAAGTCTGGGTGACCGACTCTTTTGCTAGAATGCTTGCATGTGGATAGATCTATCTATCTATCTATCTATCGATCTATCTATCTACCTATCTATCTATGTGCACGTGTATGTATGCGGCTTTCTCTTTCTTTTTCGTTTCTTAATTGGTTCTTGCATGTGTGTGTGTGTGTGTGTGTGTGTGTGTGTGTGTGTGTGCGCGCGCGTGTCTGTGCGTGTGTCTGTGCGTGTGTCTGTGCGTGTGTGTGTGTGTGTGTGTGTGTGAGAGAGAGAGAGAGAGAGAGAGAGAGGGGGGGGGGGGGGGGCGGTCGGGGTCGTCTCAAGGGAGTATGTGAGAGGGCTTGTTTGATTGATGGAATGCGGATGTTCTTGTCTTCGCGATCGGCGTCTATTTCTCTTCTGGCAGTAAATAGCAATCTCTTCCGAGCATCAGCTCTTGCGCAGAGAGTCTCCTAAGGCCACCTGATGTGGCGTCGATGTCGCGAATGGCTGTGCGTCTATCCGTTCTCTTCAACTTCTTCTGTATATCTCCTCACCGCACTAAGTTCAAGAACGCATTGTCGCCTTGCTGCTCTACTTACACCCGCTTCCGCCGCCATTGCTCGATCGGTACAGCCGTCGATCAGTTTTTTTGGCAATGGTTGTAGTCAAGTGGATGAGTTGCATATGATTGATAGGCAGAAGATGGCCTGGTTAGTGACAGGAGTTTCTGTTTGACATTGCCTCGAATGGCTGCGAAAGGACCGTATGCGGATCCGACGCAGGAGTGTTTGACCAGCCAGTAGTTAGCAAATACAGGGCGTCGTGCGTGCAAGGGAAGGTGGACACAACATACTGTAAATGAGGGCAAGGCGGCATCGGCCCTCGCCTCATGCGCTCCCTGGGTGGCAAAGTGCAGGCGGGCCCAGGTGTGTGGTTAAGCCTTTTGCTGGTGAGAGCGGAGCGCACCCACCCGCCGGTTGAAACGTAGAGGAACGTGTGCGCGTTTCGAGCATGTGTGTACACGTTTGTATGCGTTCTATCTGTGTGCAATATTTACAGTTTTGTTTGCGTGTAAAGAGCAATTGGCCATTTTGCTTGTCTTCTATCTTGTCAATGACTGGAACGGAAGGGTTTGTTGTTGGCTTTTTATTATAGCGGACAGGAGTAGGGGATGTGGTTAATATCAGGACCACCAGGTTCTTCTTCCCTCGGAGCTACCTGATTGAAAAAAACCCTGTTCATACAGGGTAGTGCGTCGGGCGATGTCGCGTTCGTCCGCAGGACGAGTGGGAACTAAGTAGTGATTACCCTCTTGATCCTTTGACAGAAGTCACGGGAAGCTTGTCTTGGCAGTTGCCTTTTGAGTTGAAACTCATCACGTGACATCACGTGACAGTAGCTGAGTGGGTGGATTGCCACGTGGCCGAAAACGTGAGGTCGAATGCTACCTAGATCGTAATTTGATCAGACTAATTCTTGCCTGGATGACGCGGCGTCGAAATGTCGGCGAATGTTCAGAGAATTGCTGTTAGGTCACCCGTGAATATGTCGGCAAGACAGTTGGCAGCAAAGCGGGGCGACTGAATATTTAGTTACAGATGAAGGCTTTGGGGGTCCTCGTGGAATGACTACCGTCTTCACTCGAATAGAACGCCCGGTCATTATAGCTGTATCTGGCACAACTTTCGGTCCAGATGCAGCGATAATGACCGGGCGTTTTATTCGGGTGAAGACGGTAGGAGCCGCAAGACATGGGGGGGACAAGTGGAAAAAGGATAGAGAATTTTTTTTTCCTGTTTTAGTTGTCCACGGGATGCAAGGGCGCATGTGCACGGGGTGGACTTCCATGGCCGATGATGGATATCGGGATCCGGATCGAGGTCCGGTGAACACGCAGTGGGGAAGTGACAACGTCTGTCCTCTTTTTTTCGTTCCCCTTTCGAACGGTTTTGCTTTCTCAGGTGTTGTAGAAAGCACTCACTCTATATATTCCGTTCTGTGCTACCGTCTGTGTACCCGAATATTGCTGTACCTAAACTGAAAGTTGCCCCCATATGCACAACTATAATGACCGTACGTGATACTCGGTCATTATCCCTTCTGTGCTCTGTTCGTTCACTGAAGGAGGAACGATTTTCCCCCGGTATTGCGTCTATGTACACGGTCGGATTGTCGGCGGCAGGATCTCTGCCGTGTCTGTGTCGCCGCCGAACTGTCCGATCTGTGTGCCTGGGGTCGCTATCCTTCCCCATCGGGATCTTGCGAGTTCTGTAGTCGGTCTTTTGCAGGTGTTACTGTCTTCACCCGAGTACGACGTTCGGTCATTATGGCCGTATCTAGACTCAATGTTGCCCCAAATACAGCTCTTCATTCGGTTGAAGACCAATAGTCGATCTGAGTGCTGTTTAATTCAAATGGACCGACGTCATCCGATTGCAATTCCATCGCGATTGCCGATCTCGTGCGATTGGAATAAGCCAATCTCGTACGATCGGGATCTCGACAAATTTCATGCGATCCGGATCGCAAATCTCATGCGATCCAGATCGCCGCCGATTGCTTGCTCTTAGTTGAAAGTTGGTCAGTCGCCGTTGCCACCGAATTCCATTCTTTCCTACCGTCTTCACCCGAATAGAACGCCCGACCAGTATGGCTTTATTTGGGACAACTTTCAGTCCAGATGCAGTCGGAATGACCGGGCGTTCTATTCGGGTGAAGAGGGTAGCGTCCGTCGTCTCGATAAGCTCTTTCACGTACAGCACGTACTCCTTCAGATGTTTCTGTCATAGCCGGCCGTTTTTTTCCCTTGTATTGTTTTTTGAGATTTTTTATTATTTGGAACGATCCAGAGAAGATTAGCGTGATCCCCGCGTCGTAAGGATATGATACCGCATAAACCGAGAAATGGCCGTTTCCTTTCCTCTCCTACGTGTTTTGCCTATACAGTTCTCGCTGATTTGTCTGGATCCAACACAGACATATAGCTGTGGTGTGTATGAGGATATAGATAGATTTATAACCCTTTGTTTGTTTTTTTGGCTTTTGCGCTCTGATATCTATGTGACGATATATAATATAAATAGCCCTTTGGGAATTTGGCTTTGACGTTCCTGACCGCAACGAACCCGCATTGTCAGGGATGATCAGGACGGCCCCGGCGTGTAAGGAGGGCACGCAGTAATCGAGAGACGAGAGATGGCCGTTTCGCTTGGGATGGCCCCGACGTTTTTTGCTACGGCTTGCCGACCAGGCGCCGAGCTGTATATACGTATATATACATCTGCTGTATATAGATATGTAATCTGGGATGTTTGTGTTTTTTGCAGACAAGAGTTTTGTCCTGGGTGGTCTTGTCCTGTCGTTTGGGATGTGAAGGAGGGACGGTGCTTGCATGTGGGAGGGGTCATCTAGGATCCGTTTTTGGTGCTATTGCTTGTTGCCTTGTTTTGTTGTATTTGGCTGTTCCCTTCCTCTTTTATTTGCCTCTTTGCCCTTCGGCTGTGTGTAAGTGGGTCGATATGACACACGGGGTTGGGGGCAGCCGCCGCTCAACCTACATCCACGTGGGCGGTCTTGTACGCAAGAGGAGGTTCTGAACAGGGGGAGTTGTATGAAAGAAGATAAAGAAATGAATTAATTTCTTCTTGTTTTCTTCTGTTTTTTTTCGCCTTTGCGCTCTGATATTTATGTGACGACATATAGCTGTGTATGTAGGTATAGATGTATAAATAGCCCTTTGGGCATTTAACTTCGACGTTCCTGGCGGCAATGTCAGCGTTCTTTGAACCTGAATCGTCAGGGCTTATCGGGATCCCGTCAGTACGACTCGATGATTTCGGTTCAGAAAACACCGATATTGGGATCCCGCCAGTAGGGCTATTAACGTCAAAAGTCAAATGCCTAGAGGGCTATTTATACATCTATATATTTCTTGCACATCATTTGTACCCCCTGTTCCCCTCTCGCCTCCTCTCTCTCTCTCTCATTTGTACCCCTTGTTCCCCTCTCGCTCGCGCTCTCTCTCTCTCATTTGTACCCTCTGTTCCCCTCTCGCCTGCTCTTTCTTTCTCTCTCTCTCTCTCTCTCTGCTTTCGCGAATTTGGCTTGCGCTCTCTCTCTCCCTCATTTGTACCCTCTGTTCCCCTCTCGCCTGCTCTTTCTNCTCATTTGTACCCTCTGTTCCCCTCTCGCCTGCTCTTTCTTTCTCTCTCTCTCTCTCTCTGTGCTTTCGCGAATTTGGCACAGAGCACTCGTCTTACGTGGTATTGGCAATCAGATAGAGTGGTGGTGCGTTTCTCAGCCCTGGCATGAGAGCTTTTTTGCTGCTCTTTCCCGAACTCTCCTTGGAATTTACGACCGCGGGAAACTGTGAACGAGCCATTTTTTAAGCGTCTTAACTTATTTTGAGAGACGAAGTGCGTGAACGAAGAGGCAGTAGAGGGCCATCGAGAGCAGGGAGAGTGTGGAGCCATTTTTAAAGCGTCTTATAACTCGTTATGAGAGACGAAGTGCGTGAACGAAAAGGCAGTGAGAGCAGGGAGAGTGTGGGTGGGATTTTTCCCAGAGGCGGAGAAATCAGAGAGGACTGGAAAACCCGTCCGAAGTAGCTGCTGGGCAAAACACACCACCCTGAATCGCATCTGAAGGTTGAAAATTGGCATTCGTTTTTTATTTTGTCCTCGTGGAGCACGCTTCGTTTTTTATTTTCTGTCCTTGTTGAGCACGCCCTAAACCGCAGCTTGATGACTGTGAAATGTTTGGAAAAGGAAAAGGAAAAGGACGTGAAGGGTTTTTCATCATCATTGCAAAAGGAAAAGGATTATATAAATACCTAAAATATCGGTTGGCTCGTTCTGATAATTCTGTTACCTGGTCGTCGAGGTCCCACTAGCAAAGAGGATCGGATCGAATGCCTGAATCTGGATGTGTTTTATGCAGACATGCAGAAAATTAGTTCAATCTCGATTTCCTGCACCTCTCTACAAACATGTCCAGATTCAGGCATTCGATCCGATCCTCTTTGCTAATGGGACCACGCCCCTGGTCGTCGAGCACACACCAAACCGCAGCTGCTTAATGTGGCTGGAAAATAAATGACTTTTAAGGGTTTTTCGCCTTGATTGGAAAAAGAAGGGGACTGTAAGCACACACCTAAGTATTCTCAGTAATTTGTTTTTCATAATTTGCTCTATGGAAAAAGGATGAGGAGAGGCCGTACGTCGACGAATAACAGTGAGTCAAGAATACTGAACTATTTCTCATCCATTTTCATGGGGACTATGCTATGGAAACTCTGACGCCACACTTCGTGCCGGCACACGGAAATAAAGGTTGAAGGGGTTCCCAAAAAAAAAAAAAAAAAAAAAAGGTTGAAGGGGTTCCCGAAGTTTTTTGGTAGAGGCAACTTCGTTGCACTTAGGATCGCCTGTATTAAGGGCCTTTTTTTTTCTTTTTTTTTTTTATTCAATGAGGGGGTCTTTGTTTTTCATGATCAGTATGATTGTCCTGTTAACAAAGAAAATCATATGTGAAATAAATACAGGCCGCGTTGACGGAGACTTCACAGCGGCCTGTGGAGTAATGGAAGAGTCTACAAAGGTGACTTGCGTTTAAAAATTTTGACTACGGAAAGGGAATGGAAGAAACAATAGGAGGGGTTTGTTCTTGCGTTGTTGACTCTTGTGTGTTTTTCTTGTTTATGTTTGGTATTCCGTTTGGCGGCAGCAGATTTTAAAGAGAAGATTTGACTTATGGTGGTATAAGACTAGATGGAGCGGACGGATGTGACTGGATGGTTTTAAGCAGATGAGGACGGACAAGTTCTGCCCGGTGCTGTCTTTGAGGTCGGAGTGGTGGGGACCACGGAAAATGGGATTAAGGGTGAATATGCGGGTTTCCGATGATTTGGGATAAGTAGAGCACGGAGAAGCCAATCTATCTAGATACCATCGGCTGTGAACCTTTTTTCGTTGTCCGATTTTGGATGCGTAAGTGCTGAAAGGTCGTTGGTCCGTGAGCAATCACAGAGTCCAGTCCAGTTTCGTCGATCTATATCATATGTAGTCTAGAGAGAAAAAGAGAGAGGAGCGGAGAGGGGGTTGTGGTATGTTCTTCTTGTAGGTGCCTTGTCTAGACATGTCAAGCTGAGAAAAACAAGTAAATTCTCTCGCTTATCGTCTCTGCGTGTGCATGTGCAACAGAGAGGGAGCGGCTAGTGGGAGTGGGAAGAGAGAAAAAGCGAGAAGAGGCGACAAAGAGATACAGATATAGAGGGGGGGAGAGAGAGGGAGAGAGAGAGGGAGGGCGGATCTAGATGTGTATAAGAGACAGGTCCTGGGTGGTCTTGTCCTGTCGTTTGGGATGTGAAGGAGGGACGGTGCTTGCATGTGGGAGGGGTCATCTAGGATCCGTTTTTGGTGCTATTG